TTTTTTACAATCTTGGTATAATTCCTGCTCTAAGTGGGTCGCTCTGTCGGCTAAAGGCACATTTTAGTGGCCCGATACTCAGTTTACGATTAATCAATTACTAAATTAGTTCACGATTATTTAAATAATTTGTTAATATGATTGTTTCAGTCATAAATTAGCTACACAGAGTAACTACAGCCCAGATGTACAACTTCTAATATTAATACTTTAAATGCTCAGTGTCAGTTCCTCTTATAGTTCCAGTGCTCATGTAAACACAATACATTTATTTTCCGTCCCTTGAATGTATGATTTAGCATGATCCAGAGAGAGCATATTAGATAAAAAAAATAAGAGTGGGTTTTACCTCTGCACAATTCTATATCTTCAGAAGAAAACACAGGATAAATCCACATATTATATATATTTGGTTAAACAGACACTGTCTTAGTCGCAGGTAAATTTAAATGCAATCCTTTTCAAAGTGGAAAAAGTCCTAATTCCACATTCATCAGAGCCAGTTATGCTTTAACTATTGATAAACAGCATCTAGAGCATGTAGTGCTTATAAGATCTGTATAAATGTAGCAAGAAATGCTGCTGTTCTCTTTAAACAAAATGAGTCCTGAAGCTCACATTAAGCATAAAAAAGATCATAGTGTCCCTACCAAAGTTGAAATCAAACCTACGCCCTTGCTGTCAAAAATCACACAAGATGGACACTTTGTTAAGAGCTCTTTAAATTAACTTTTAATAATCCCTAGTACATTATTTAAAGATGAAGATTTTTTAATCTGTTAGAATTTACCAACGATTCGGACAAACAATGAAATAACAGTGTACAGTGCAAAGGTGTACCGCTGTTTAACCTTATTTCATCTGCTGATTAAGTTGAGTGAAAGGAGACGATAAACTATGGCAACCACTGGATGCTTCTCTATTAAATTGTATGATATTGCAGCTCTTAGATGCCACCCTTACTTAAAACAAAGTCTAACCTTTTTTTAATTTTCTTTTTTGCTTAATATGCATTATTTGCACACAGCAGTATTTCTAAAACACGTTCTTAGAGCAGTGGATGCTTACATCTAGATATGTTAACATATCTAGATGTAAGCATAAATTATAAAGTAAATATTCCTGTTTTTCGCTCATGAAATCTGCAGCTGTTTAGTTTTTACAGCATTTCTGTTCCATATTATGGAGGACCAACTCTGCCATATTTAAAAATAAATACAGAAATAAATAAATGCTCAAATAATAAATAAGCATACAATTAATTGCCACCAAAAATACAATAAAAA